GCTCCAGCCGTGGCTTCCCACGTGGTCACAGCCTCCTTCAGGTGTCTCCACCTGCTCTGGCTTGGGGCCTCCTCGGGCTGCAGGTAGAATCTCTGCTCTGATGCCTGGAGCACCTCCTGCCCCTCCTTCTGCACTGACCTTGGTGTCTGCAGAGTTTCTTACATCTTCTCACTCCTCTCTCTGGCTGCAAAAGCTTCCCAAGGTTGTTGTTTTTCCCTTTTTAAGTATGTTATCCCAGAGGTGCTACCACTGTGGTTGGGCTCGGCCTTGGCCAGCGGTGGGTCCGTCTTGGAGCCGGCTGGCATTGGCTTTGTCAGACACAGGGGAAGCTTCTAGCAGCTTCTCACAGAAGCCACCACCCCTGTAGCCCCCCCACTACTAAAACCTTGCCACACAAACCCAATACAGACATCATGCTCAGTATATAAGCGGGGAAACTGGCCAGGGAGGAGGGGTCACTGCTCATGGACGGGCTGGGCATCAGGTTCCTGGTGGTGAGCAAATTGCATTGTGTATCCCCTGCTTTGTATTTTCTGTTACAAATATTGTTTTTCTCCTCTCCCTTTGCTATCCCAGTAAACTGTCCTTATCCCAACTCACGAGTTTTACCTTTTTCTTTGCATTCTCCTCCCCATCCAGTTGGTGGGGGAGGGGTGAGTGAGCAGCCGCGTGGTGCTCAGCTGCTGGCTGGGGCTAAACCATGACAGCCATAAAAGTCTGTGTATGGTTTACTTGCTGCTGTTCTGATTAGAGGAAAACTGCCATGCAGAAAACGTGTGTGATGCCTTTGGCTCCCTAAGCTTTAAAGCAAAGTCTCTGTGACACCAACTTCTATGTTTAGAGCCATTAAAGAAACATAGGTAAGTCTTCTGCTTTCTAGGACTGCTTAAGGAAAGAGAATCTATTACAAATGTGAATAATCTTCTTTTTGGAGTCCACTACCTGCTCTTAAATTCCAGACATATGGGATCCTAAACGAAGAGACCTTATAAGTTCACAGTATGCACTTCAGTCTCTGAAACTTTGTACAAAACCACCTATTCAGGCATAGTGCATTGTGGGGTCTATACCTCTTTGCCTACTTGCCAGAAACAACTATTTCATTACTTCAGCCGTAGGCACCATACACACATGCTAGGAAATTAAACATGCCTGGGAACATTCTGAAGCATCAGCACCAAATGGCATGTAGTAGCCCACTTCAATAAAACCAGCCTGTCCGTATAGGTTAGCTGCATGTGAACTACGTATTGGCAATGATTTTTTGCCCACGCTAACTCTTCAGCTATGCCTGGGAGCCATTTGGGAGAGTGTTAATGAGTAAATGCCAGAATACTATCAGGAACACTCTAGTGGTTTTCTAACAATAAATGATCACTTTCTTGAGCACTGCATAATTTTCTAGTATAGTAGGAATCAAAGTTTTCCAGAATAAGACGTCTTTGCAGATCAATCCCTTTGTCCCTTTGCTTTAAATTTAAACTAGTCAGAAAACATATTGACAAGCATACTTGAAAGACATGCTTGTGTTTATCCTTAAAACCCTGCAAATTCAAGTCAAATTCAGTCAATAGCTGTAGTTGGGAAAATTATGATGGGCTACATTCCCAAGTTGCCATGGGAAGTTATCCACGTTTCCTCTTGCACTCTAATAGTTAACGTATAAGATCGCTAACTAGAGATATCAGTGAAGTGGTTCATTTCTCTTATGTACTAGATCTCATAACTCCTAAATAAAAATCCAAATAACTGGTTTGGAGAATTAATTTCTCTTTTTCTCAGTTATTGTTTACACAGTCTAATGCTCCATGTAGCTGTAACTGAGAGAACCAACCTCTTAGTGACTGCTGTTGAGAATATCAGGTAATTCCTCTCATACAAGGCGAAAGTAAAAGATTGTGTGAAAGGGTAGGTTTATAACACAAGTGAAGAAGATTAAGACTTCTACCAAATCTAAAAGTGTATTATCTTTTACTGAGGAGAAGGTGGAGGTTACGAGTGGGCAAATTTTCAGAGAAATTTATACACTCGTCTGCCTTTACATGCTCTAAGCCTCAGTTTAAGGGTAATTATAATCTCCCTGACGGTCTGCTTTAGACCACTTACACTCTTATAGATTCAGTATCATGGTCAAGAACTGGATAACACTTGACTATCCATTATTTGGAGACTAACAGTCTTATATTTTCAGTTTATGGATGGTAAGCATTGAGAGTCTAAGATCTGAACTGGAGTGACTCCTCCCTTTCTTCAATACACAAGTTTCTGAAAAATGGCACACGTTTGACTGGAATAATAGATTATTGTGAAGAGCCCTTAGTCCTCCTCATTTTTAGAGCTCTGAATTTCCCATGTCATGTTGTGAAATAGATTGGTGGTTAGAGTACCTAAACACGGAGGGGTACAGTGATAAATTTTCTGGATACAATTTTGATAATAAGCCACCGAGCTGCTGATTCCCACAAAGATGGCAGGATTCATTACAGGATAAATAAATTTAGACATCTTATTATAGGTTTAACACAGAGACTTGGCATCTAACCTTCCATTATAACCAATTTAGTTCTAATCGATACAGTGAATGGAGTTTGGAGTACATTTCAGTTCACCATCCAGGAGTCCATTTTAGTGAAATATAGTCACGTTCTACAGACTATATTGAATAGGACTAAAGGATTAATAACAGGGTCAAAGACTAGGTTAGATGTCTGGAATTAGGCTCTGCAATTGCATACTGAACCTTCCTATTGCTGCCTGTGGAACTATGCAGTTGAATTGATGATAAACACTTTTGACTTTGGACATGAAACATTCAAGAGGTTGTGGATCTAATTTTTTAACTAGGGTATTTAAGAAACTCAGTAATCCTTTCTCTTTACTTCTAAGTTAATTTTTGGATCTGTGTAACAGTTTATTTTAAAAAAAATGGCAATAACATGTAATTATTTAGCATATTAAACTTCAGACAACCTAATTTTGCCTCTGTTTTGAAAATGATAAAATACTACATTTTTCAGTGTTCCACTACAAGATGTATATTAATGTGCATTTTAAAAAAAAAATTAAAGAGAAGCCAATTGCAGTGATTCCCTAAACTTGCTAAAAAGTAAATATTCGTAATTAGTTGAAACATTTTGACATGATTACTGAACTGTGTAGTATTGTACAAATTATATAGGTCATTACTTTGTAAAAAATATTACAATGGCATAGCTGTGGGAATACTATTTCAGTGCTTTTAAATTTTGCAATATTTTCATTTTTTTTCTAACTTTGACCATTCTGCACATTTTCACTATCTAGTTTATATATATTAGTATTTAAGCATTGGTGGAAAATTAGGCAAACAAGTTCTGAAGTATAAATGTGAAAATTTCTTTTGCATATTTTGGAAAAAATTCAACTTGAGCTTGCTTTTTATTGGCACAGTGTTCACTTGGCAAGGAGGTTACTGCAGCTAGAAAAGCAAAACTCGTTGCTTGTAAAAGATCTGGAACATCAGAAGGAACAAGTAACACAGATTTCACAAGAGGTAAATTACTATTACAAAAAAATCAAATCTGTAGAGGCTATAAACATTGCAGAACAGCTGTTCATAAAATGAAATATTTTCTAAACAATGTTTATTATCTATTTGATGTCAAAAAATGGCCTCATAATTAACCAAAACTCTATGTTAAACATTTTCAAAGAAGTTTATATTGTATTTTGAAACGAAGATCTAAAGAGGGATTACTTTACAGGCTAAACAAGACTGTAAGCCAGACCGACAAGGTTCTGATTTTTTAACAGACCAGCTAGCCAAACTAGTTTGTTCTGTTTGAGAGTTAATTGTTCAATGAATATCTTGTTACTTTTTACACAATTCTTCTCTTAAATCACTTTTGAAGATATTTCTGGAAATCCTTTTCTACATTGTTCACTTCTTGAGTCTTTTGAATATACAAATCTAAGGAATGTTTAGCATAAGCTGCTTTTTAAAAAAAAGCTAAAATTAATTTTTTTTGTTTCTTACATTGTTACAATGAGTTTAATTTCATGATCTTTTAAAATTCTGTAAACCTGAAATCACATATTACATTGACATGGAGAACAAACGCTAAACAAAACTGAGCTTGAAATCTCCCAGAATTAGGGCGAACTAATTTTTTGAAATATTTTTAAGATTATCTTCTAAGTTTCTCTTAGGAAGAAAAGAATTCCTAGATTTGCTATTAGATATTGCCACCATATGGAATTTCTAGACTGACTGTTTCAGGAATGTGGTTAAAAGTTTGATTTTGTAAATTGGGATAACTACACCCAACTACCTCACAGTGCAAATACTTGCATTTTATACATATTTTAAAATTACATGAATTGTGTGTATTTTATATGTGTACATATATGAATATATATATTATTTCAATGAAAGATACATAAACAGTGAGGTTTTTGTACAGTTTTTTCTTAACCAATGCTACAATTTACTATGGATTCTTCTTAGGTATATTCTAGTAATTTGTATTTGACTAATCTATATCTTTCAAATCTTGAGTCGAAGACATAAAGAGATTTGTAAATCCAATGTTATCCTTGGTGTTTTTCTCTATCATTATTTTTTCGCTATTGTTAATAAAATCTCTGCTTTATTTCCCACTTAAATCTGTCTGATTTCCACTTCAATACATTTCTTTACCCACAATGATTTTCTATTTGCTTTCTTCATCAGTGATGAAAGACTTAGTACCAGTGACCTTAGTTCAAATTCCTGCAAAATTCCACTAGAACATCTTCACCTCACTTTTATTCTCCCATGAGATGTCATGTAGCCCTTTCTTAATCTTTTATCATATAATTGTACAGTTTAAATCAGAATGTCATCCAAGACGATGTTAAATGTCTTGTAGATAGCTAGCACACAGCTACTAAGGCTATTAACATCAAACTCATAAGGTTAAATAAAATCTTTTTAAGACCTGCTTTCTATTAAACTCATGTCTGGCATTCAGGTCTGAATGCTTCATCAGACTTCTTTCTTTCTTCCTTTTTTTAAAAAAAAAAAATTGCCTATGATTGTAGGCCATTTTGATAACAATTACTTAAGCCATTCTGCTTGCTATCCTTCAATGTGTGCACAAAGAACTTACTTACACTTGTTTTTAATGAACTGGAAAATAGTTCATCATTCTCATGTTATACAAACTGATCATATAACTTCTTTTCAAAGAGTGCAAAAAATTTTTTTGAAAACTTCTGTGTTTTCTTCAGTATTATATACAGTTTTACTGTATGTCTGCGTAATTACTTTTACTGTTTCTAGGATTTATTTGCTCCCATTTTTTTCGTTTTAAGAGTTCTATGCCTGCTAGTATCAACTTTCCCCTTGAAATTGTATCTCCTCTTGTAAATTTTGTGTATTTCATATTTTATACTGATTGCTCTCTATTATCTTTCTTTATAAAGTTCTTAAGCTTCTGTTTGCTGTCTTTACTACATATCCTGAGCTAAGATTTTTCATAGAATCATAGAATGGTTTGGGTTGGAAGGGACCTTAAAGACCATATAGTTCCAACCCCCCCTGCTGTGGGCAGGGACACCCTCCACTAGACCACGTTGCCCAAAGCCTCATCCAACATGGTCTTAAACACTTCCCGGGAGGGGGCATCCACAGCTTCTCTGGGCAACCTGTTCCAGTGCCTCACCACTCTAACAGTAAAGAATTTCGTTCTAACATCTAATCTAAATCGACCCTCCTTCAGCTTAAACCCATTACCCCTTGTCCTGTTACTACACTCCCTGATAAACAGTCCCTCACCAGCTTTCCTGTAGGCCCCTTCAATTAAGCCGCAATTAGATCTCCCCGGAGCCGCCTTTTCTCCAGGCTGAACAACCCCAACTCTCTCAGCCTGTCCTCATAGGAGAGGTGCTCCAGCCCTCTGATCAGCTTCATGGCCCTCCTCTGGACTCCAACAGCTCCATGTCTCTCCTGTACTGGGGCCCCCAGAGCTGGACGCAGTACTCCAGGTGGAGTACTGAGTACACAAGAGCAGAGTAGAGGGGCAGGATCACCTCCCTCGACCTGCTGGTCACGTCTCTCTTGATGCAGCCCAGGACACGGTTGGCTTTCTGGGCTGCAAGCGCACACTGCTGGCTCATGTTGAGCTTCTCATCAATCAATACCCCCAAGTCCTTCTCCTCGGGGCTGCTTTCAATGCATTCCTCGCCCAGCCTATTTTTACTCCAAGCTATCATCTGTCTTGATTTTTTTTTTTAAAAGAGCAAAACAGAGATCCTGTAGACTACAGCATGCTCAAATAGCCTATTATTATTCTTTTGATTGACATTTTGTTCAGTCATCTAGATGAAATATAGAATATGGATTGAAAGTTGATGCCAAAGTGATTGTACCAACTTTTCTTTTGAAATTGTATTAAATACTGGTATTTCACTGCAGTATTTATGATACAACTTTTTTTAAGCTCTTTAAAGGAGGGAGGAAAAGAAAAATATTTCAATAGTGACAATGGATGCTCTTTCTAAGATTCTTTTTTTTGGACTGTCCTCAACCAATTGTTGTTGAACTTTATAGAAAGGAATCATATTGATCTTCTGGGAAAGTCCAGCGTTATCAAGAAGAAAATACTGACTTCTCCATGATTTCCTTCATTTAATGGAAGTCTGGTATAATGTGCCTGCTTTAAAGTTGGAACCCCATGAAAAAGCTCAGCTGCTGAAAAAAACTTGTCGGTCTTCAGTTAGTCCCATTATAGTTTGTTGTGCTTTATTTAACTGCAGGATCCTATCTATTTTCAGGTCTGTGATACAGCATTAGAAAGGAACTCTCCCCTAAAATCCTCTTTCTCTTGCTTTGTATAGCAGTGACCTGCAATGTTGAAGTAGGTATTGAGACTTATTTCATAATATAGAAGGTTTGTTGACCATGTCTAGGACAAACGATAAAGGAATTCTCATGACCTGATCCCAGAAAGATCCTCAGTTAGTGATAATCAGTTTATTGCCTCTGCCGCTTACTTCATGTTACTCTCAGTTTAAGTAAGTGGAAGGCTCTGCAAAGTAGTGATCTGCAATTACTACATTTAGTGCCCAATCTAAATTTTGGAATAAATTCACTTTGCAGAGGTTTTCAACAACAGTGCTAGAAGCGATGGATACAGTGTCTTGTGTCTAGAAAGCTAATACAGTCTTTCTGTGACTTAAAAAGCAAATACTGTGTCAGTATACGGTAAAAATGATAGCCTAAATAAAGAAATTTACTAAGCTGATTTTTTTGCTTGCTGCTGAATGATTTTTTTGAGCCTTCATCATGGCATTATATTTATGTTTTTTGTATGCCTCAATTGAAACATTTTTACCAAAAGCAGGTTTACATCTCACTCTGAAGAAGAGAGTATAGATCAAACTAAACAATGGTGAAATTCTTCAGCTTGATAGAAATGTCCATTCAGGGATAAATAATAAATGTCCAATTTCAAGGTGTTAGATTTATCACTTAAAAGAATGACACAGAAATACTTAAGTACATCTTGTACATTAAGGCAGAAAGAAATCAAAGCTGTTTACAAAAATTAATGCTTTTGCTTGAGGATAATGCTTAATTTATATATGTGTGTATATTAGTAAAATCGATCCATTAAATGTGTTTAATGCTTAGTTGTTTACAGTGTAATGACAACCTCTTTCAAGTTTATAGAATCAAACAGGCAGCAAAGCACCATCACGGAGAGGGAAGGGATAGCCTTTTTTCATAACAGCAGCATGCTTTTTAGCTGGTAAAGTTAGCAAGTTAACAGATGACTTAGCAGCATCAAACCAAACTTGCAACACCTCATTTGTCCTTTCCGCTGAAGTACTTTAATTCTTATCAGCAAGAACAATGAGGAACTTCAAACTGTGATGACAGCATCCTTTGAAAGTTCTTAGGCTATCAAGAACAGGATTCCAAACAAGATCAGTTGGATTAATTTTCCCCTCTAATGGCAGCCTCAAGGTTTTATACTGCAATTTTTAGACCATCCTAGAGATTCGTACTCCCATGTCTTGGAATTATCTGTTTGTCATGTAAAGACTCTCTTGTGTTCCTGAAAGAGATCTTTTTTGATAGCTTGCACTCTTAGAAAAATAATAGCCTTTTTAATTGCCTATCAATTTATTGAAGATAGTTTCTTCAAGATGACTGCTTGGGTTTTTTTTATTTCTCTACAATAAACTTGGAATTTCACTGTGGGCTAGAATAGGTATTTCCTGAAGGAGCTAATGTACTTAAGGATTTGCATTAATTTGAAGAAATGCAATGTTATGGTCTTTCATTTCACTTTTTGCAACATGAGGTGAAGTTAACTCCCCTTTTAGTAAGGCCAGTAAGGTGAGCAATTAAAGTTTTGTCTATATTCTGGTTTTTAATAAATGTGAACCATTACAAATTCTTTGCACGTTTGACAGAGTATAGAGGGCAGAAGTAAAACTGCAGTAAAAATATAATGGAATCAGAGAAAGAAGGAAACACAGTCTCATGTTTGGAAAATTATGAATAGGAGAAAAATCTGAATTTAGGATAGTCCTGAAATACTTTTAAATAAGCTAGGTCTGTAAGAAGATGTTTGAGTTTTTTCCCCTGCTTATTTGGAACAACACAAAATAGGACAACTGGCTGCTGAGTCTGACTTGGCAAATGGAGATTGTTTAATCTATTCAGAAATTTTATAAACTAATTGGAAAGCTTAACCATTTTCCATTGAATTTCCATTAGACCAGTTTGTAGCTAAACTTTAAAAGATTTTTGTTTCTTTTTTAAAGAATCTAGTTGGTATTCTTGACTTATATGTACGCCAGCTGCTGAAACTGCTAAATCTTGAGGGGCGATCTTAATTCTGTACATATGTTAGAGAATGATCTTGTTATATTTCTCAAAATGCAGGGCATATCATGCAAGCTTTTTAGACCTAGTGATCCTAATTTGTTCAGGGAATACAGCTAGAAAGGTTTATTTCCTACTCATGGGTATAAAAGTTATTTTGTACTACTCTTATAAACATCATGTTGGATTTCATTGTTGATAATGTAGTAATTGATCAGATGAAAGGGAATTTTTCTTCCATTATTACTGTGTTTTTATTTAGATTCAATTTCTGAGCTGAAAATTCCATTGTAATAGTATACTGCTTTAAAAAAGTCACTTGTGGTCAGTAAGGTGAAGAAACAGAGGTCTTGTCTATACTAATTTTTTTCATCAATGGAAGCTGTTACATTAAAACTCTTGAAAATGCAGATTAGGGAAGTGTAGAGAGTGGTAGTATGATTGCAGTGAAAATACTGTACAATTAGAACAGAGAAGTGAGAGAATCATGTACTAGATAGTAATTTGAGGGTAGTTTAGGGGTTTTTTTGTGAAATAACAGGTTTGGGTTTTATATTATGCAATTGGTAATAATAATATCCAATAATAAATAATAATCAAGTAATTGTGCTTTATAAATTATAGAACTTATAATAGTAATAATTCTTTTTTTTGGCAGCTTGACAGAGCAAATTCTTTGTTGAGTCAAGTACAACAGCCGTACAAATACCTCATTGAAACCGTGCAACAGAGAGATTCTCAAATAAGTCTACAGAAAGAACATATTACACAACTTGAAAAAGATATCAGGTAATTAAAGTCACTCTTTCTTTATTTTAAACTGAAAGTAAAATCACTTGTGTGTTTATCATTAGAAAACAATTATGTTATTGGCCATAAAGTAGGAGATGTTGACACTCCATCATTAACTAAGACCAGTACTTATGCTGGAACTCTGTCATCTGTGATTTCTCTCATACTGTCAGAAAAAGAGGCTTTAGGTTTGGAAAAGCAGCAATGGTAGTCAGGTTTAAAGTGAGTTTGGAGTTGAGAAGAGATCTCATGAAACAGAGGAAAGTTCAGAAGAGTAAAAGGAAGAATGACACGTCAGATGTACAAAAGTAAAAACAAAGAAATAAAGTCAGCGAAAAATAATAGACTAGTCCACCAGCAAAGGGTATTTTGAGCATAAGTCGAGCAGACTTCCTCTAGTGGAGACTCTCTGATTTGCTGTTATATCCAGCTTGTCAGAACTCTCTGACCACTGAACAACTTCCCACTATCATATAGCTTTATAAACTATGTTTAACATCTGGTTCCCAAGTAAGCTGTTATAAAATAATCTGCCCCTTGATTTTCAAGGAAGTAGATAGCTGTGTGCCACTGCACTACAGAGAAATTAGCATTTTAACTCTTAGGTGTTTATGTCATATCTTGGTTTAGGAAATGCATACAGTAACAATTATGAAGCATTAATGTGAATGTATTATGAAGCAATTACATGAAAAATACAAGCTTTTTCGAACAAATCTGTTGAAAAATAGAAAAATTAGGACTCACTATAGCTAAATACTTTATCCTACATACTGTCTTACATATGTATCTATTCAGAGTGTTTTGATTCAGTAAGAATAGATCATCTTTATTCCAGAATCACGTGTTTTTATTATTTTCCTAGACTTGATATATTATAAGAAAAACTTCAAAGGTAAATTATATTTTTCCAGGAGATGAAAAATCACAATGTTTTCTATATAGGCAGGATCTTACCTTCCCATTGTGAAAAAAAAAATGAAAGAATGGGTCAGTAGTGAATTAAATTTTTAGATTATGGTAACATGAACACGTCTTTCATTATTCACATAGATGTCCAAAAGTCTCTCGAAAGCTAGGAAAAAAGGAAGTAAATAGGTGAGGTCATTTCCGAAAGTGTATGTTTCATGCCATTAAAATATAAAAGAACTTAAATGCATTGTTAACATTGATTCTCTTGAGTTTTTATGGCTCATTACAAATAATCTGTATGCCCAGATATTCTTCCTAAATTTAGCCTACAAATTAAGGCACCTAAATTAGGAATTAGTCAGGTCAGGTTTCCTTAGTAGTTCATGGAGGAAGTGGCATCTCCAAAAAGCAATTCAGATTTTGGATGGAGTGAGTCATTTGCTAGAGATGCCTGTTACTCTCCATTAACTATAAAGGGAATTTTTGGCATCTTAAAGGGCCTGAGGTTAAGGAAGAAAATGGATCTGCACCACAGTGCGAGCATTCATGGTAAACATACCAACAGTACTCTACTGTGGTGAGCTGGGGTGTGCTCGCCACTGGTCCTGTGTTTCTGTAAATGAAAGTGTGGTCTGACAAAAAAATATTTTTATCCTTCATGGTTTTGCAGCAAAAAAATAACACTTACTTTGCACATCAAATGTTTTGGTAAGAAGTTTTTTTCCTGTAGTTTCCAATATTCCTTGTAAACTAAAAATAACTATTACTCCCTTATCATAATTTTGCCTCAACTTTGCTGTAGTTTCATAGGCCGGTGAAATTCTTGGAAACAGCCTAATGTCTTAGGGCTTTTGGTACATATCAGTAGTCCCTAATTTTACTATTCATTACTCCACATTTAAAACAAATGTCCTAAATTGTTAGCTGATATTCCCTGGAGCACGGGACAAATCATAATCTGGTATAAAATTGATAACCTTGGTCCTTTGCTTTCCCATAAGTGAGAGGAAGGTTAGAGGATGGGATTTCTAACCAGAGAATCATTACATTCCAGCAATCTTTTGTCATGAGGATAGCCTTTTGGAATCTGCTGCTGAAAGTTTTAAGTTAAAATATCCTTTAGGTGATTTCAGATTACTTTGTGGACCGGTCTAGCTCCCAGCTATTCCAGAACTGAATCAGAATGGGATTTAAGTAAATTAATGATAATCCCTACCAAATACATGCCAAGTGAAGCTCTACTGGATCAAAAGATTTAGACCACTATTCCTATCTGTCTGTCTTAGTTTATTAAACAGCATTTTGTTGGTTTGTGTGTGGAATATTTATGAGAGGATGAGTTCAGAGAATTAGTGCTCCTCAAGGAGGGCCCTAAATTCTGCAGATAATGTTGATGCTATTAGAAAAGTAATAGTGAAAACACTAAACATGGTTTATGAAGCCTGGTTTCTCTGTATCTCAGAGTTAAAGGAAAAAGCTAATATTTGTAAAGCCATTTCAAAATGAAATGTGTTTTTTTTAACCATTACGTATAATTAATAGTTAATACTGCAGTTCTGCAGTAGCCTTTTTAAGTTGAGGCTTAATTTATGCTAGTTGTACAAAGTACATTATTATTTTTTTAAAATTTTACATACAATGCATGCATTAGTTTTATTTCTAGAAAGCAATTTCACAAGTGCCAGCTAACAGGAAAATGATGTTCAAATTCTTGTTTTCAGATCGATCTTTAAAAATACTAGTGATTTTTTTAATATAATTTTTTAAAAAAAATCATATATTTGAGTACCAGATTGTAGACAAATTAAAATAATGATGATATGCCTGCACCCTGACAATCAAGACTGAATACTTACTTTTATCTTCACAGTTACCCTATGCTCGATCATGCTTTTCCTTCCTTTACGTTTAGTGTGCAGAATCTATGGTGGAGGAGCGTTCTTTTCATGTTGTGTTTTTATCTCATCTGCTCATCAAGAGAGATGGTTCTGCATTATGTAAATCGTGGATTCCCGAAGTAGAGCAGTCACATTTGTGTTACCAGAGCCAGTGTTCTCTATCACCTCTCGCTTAACTTGAGT